TTTTTTTTTTTTTATTGAAGTGTCGTTGACAATGTTGTATTAGTTTCAGGTGTGCACCATAGCTAGTCCACAATTCTCTACATTATGCTGCGCTCACCGCAAGCGTAGCTGTCATCTGTCACCATGCAATACCACTGATTAGATTCCCTAGGCTCTACCTTTTATCCCTGTGATTTCGTCATTCCGTAACTGGGAGCCCGTACCTAACCAGAAGTTATGAAAGGATTACTTCCATGAGCACCACCAACAAAGCACAGGGTCGAGGCTGAATGAATGAATGGATGAATGAACCCATCAGTTGACCCCTCTTCAGACAACCTCGATGCCCTTCTCAGGACGTCGGTTTCCTCATCAAATAAAGATGATAGAATGCCCTGATTTCTAAATTCTCCTCCAGAGATAATATTCTGAGACCCTGAGCCAGGGCTTGGCAAGCTTTTTCTGCCAAGGAGCACATTTTAAATAGTTTAGGCTTTGTGGGGCATAGGATCTCTGTTGCAGTTATTCATCTTGTTTTCTCTCTCAAACCCAGTGTCCCTGTCACCTCCAAACTATTATCCCTCACCCCCAGACCCCTTTTTTCCTTTAGTTTCATGGCATCCGATTATACCACTCACTACCCCTTCTTGTTGTCACTCATCTACAGACTCCTTGAACAATTTAGCACCTGGTGCAAGTTCTCTCCCTTTCCCCAATGCCATTCTTGTCAGAATTCTCAGGAATTTCAGTTTTATGAACATAGACCTTCCAATACCTCGGCCTCATGTCTCCTTGACTTTCTCATTTACCCAGTGATCTCATCCCCCACCCTACCTCGGTCAAACCCCCAGTTATATCCTAGACTTTAAAAAAAAATTTTTTTTTAATTAGGTTTATTTTTGAGAGGCAGAGACAGAGCGCGAGTGGGGGAGGGTCACAGAGACAGAGGGAGACACAGAATCTGAAACAAGCTCCAGGCTCTGAGCTGTCAGCACAGAGCCCGATGCTGGGGCTCGAACTCACAAACTGTGAGATCATGACATGAGCCGAAGTCGGACGCTCAACCGAACGAGCCACCCACGTGCTCCTAGACTTTTTTTTTTTTTTTAATGTTTGTTTATTTTTGAGAGAGAGGGAGACAGAAGATCCAAAGCAGACTTCACACTCTCAGTGCAGAGCCCAATGCAGGGCTCAAGTTCATGAAGCATGAGATTATGACCTGAGCCAAAGTCGGACGCTTAACTGACTGAGCCACCCAGGAACCCTCTGGGGGGCTCCTTTAAAACACACATCAAGTCAATGCGCTACTCAAACCCTCTAATGCTTCCCATGCCCCTCAGAATGAAATCCAAACTCCTTACTGACCTCCATCTGGTCCCTGTAATCTGAGCGCTAGCTGGCTCTGACTTATCGGCCACTCACCACCCCTCCCTTCACTCTACCTGCACAGTCCTCCTGGCCATTCCTCAGGCTTGGCACTCACCTGCCTTGGAACCTTTGCATCCTCTGTTCTCTGTGTCTGCAACATTCTTTCCCCAGATGTCTACTTGGCTTTTTCACTTCCCTTATGTCTGCTTACATATCACCTTATCAAAGAGGCCTTTCTTGGTCACTTTAACGCAAAGAGAACCTCCGCACTCGATCTCTCTACTCCCTCTCCTGTTCATCTTTTTTTTAAAAAAAAAAAAATAGGGTTCAGACTTTATGACAATCTACCTTGAAGCAACTGTCCTCCACTGTTTCTCAAATAAGACTGCCTCGTTTTTTATTGAAGTATCATTAACACACCACATCACATTAGTTTCAGGTTTACGGTATAGTGATTCAACAATTCTATACATTACTCACTGCTAAGCACTGGAAGTGTGTTCTTAATCCCCCCTCGCCTACTTCCCCCATTCCCCCACCCATCTACCTTCTGACAACCACCAGTTTGTCCTCTGTATTTGAGTCTGTCTTTTTTTTTTTTTTTTTTGTCGTTGTTCGTTTGTTTCCTAAATTCCACATAGGCATGAAATCACATGGTATTTGTTTTTCTCTGACTTAACTTCACTAAGCATTACACCCTTCCGTCCATCCACGCTGCTGCAAGTGGCCAGATCTCATTCCTTTTTACGGCTAAAATTCTATTCTGTATATGTATGCACATATATGTGCCTTCTTTATCCTATTTATTCTATTGTGTATATGTATGTGTCTTCTTTATCCATTCATCTACTGAGGGGCGCTTTTTTTCCTTCATAGTACTGGACACGACCCAACACGTGTATTTTCTTTTACTTCGCTATTTCTGGAATATGAATTGTAGCACAGTTGAGCCTCTGTCTCATTGCTCTATGTGCTTGGCACCAAGACCACAGCGCTGGGCACACCCGGAAGGTACTCGAACATTTTCTGACCCTGTCAAAGCAAATAGTTTTGGAAGCAGCTTACCTTCTTTCAGTGCCGCTGCCACTAATGAGGATGCCTGGGGAGGCTCTCCTGGGTCAGGCTTAATGAGGAGGTGGGGCTCTAGATGGACATCCTCAAGTCCACTCAATTCTCCGAGCTCAGCATAGATATGCAGCTTCTCCTCCAAATAGGTGCAAATTTGTTGGTCTTGGTTACTGAGGATTTCTATGAAATGGCATTTAGCACAGAAGGTTAGCAGAGGAATACAACAACTGTATGAAAGTCTAAGCAAGAAGAACACAATGTTGCTCATCAGTATGGTCTCACAGGTCAAGTACAAGTTGTTGAGCGGGACACAACCGGGTTCAAACCCTAACTCTTCCACTTAGTGACTGTAGCTTTCCATGGAATTTATTGCGCTCGGATGCGTGTTCCTTTCCCCTGCCTCTAATTCCAGAAAGACTTGCAAAACTATTCTTTGTTCAGCTTGTTTTCCACTAAGACTAAACACTAAGCTGAGGAATGAAAATCGAGGTGGGGTGGCAGTGTCCATGATGACTGATACCCGCAAGGGAAAACAATGCAAAGCTACTCAGGCTTCAGTCAGTCTTGCTTAAGACCACACCTACTGGTTTAGGTTTTGGTTTCTCAACATCCAATGTCTTTGATAATCTTGGCATGTACCATTTTCCTCTGGTGTCAATGTATCACGTGATTCTTACGGTTTAAAGGGACCTCTGTCAGCATCTAATCCAGGGGTTCTCAGTCTGCCTCGGTACCACCTGGGCAGAATTTAAAATCCATCCACAACCACCTCCCATAAAGCCCAAGGGAAACGGGTGAGGGTAGGGCCCAGGCATCAGAATTTTTACAAAACTCCCAGAGTAGTTCTGATGTCTAGCCAGAGATGGGAATCACTGAGCTAATCTAATTTCCTCAATTCAAAGACGTGGTAACTGATGACCAGAGTTAATGGGTTCCTGGCCCAGAGTCACACAAGTGTGACCTTCCAGTGCTGGGACCTAAAATTACAGCACCAGACGATGACCCCAAGGCACATCTGTACCAAAACTGCCCTGCCCACAGTTACTGTTTCGTACATGTTACGTGGATAATTATTTCTGAAAATTTGTTATAGATTTTTAAATCACTAAGGAGGAAGGAGGGAGACAGTCCTCTCATTTGAACACTCCTGAAACCCATCTTTTTGTTCTCACAAGTGAGGGGTGGGCCTCAGGTTCACGGAATTCATGTTTTAATTATAACCCCCATTCGTGACACCTGGCCTTGCCCAACACCCAAGGAGAACACCACGGCCAGGGAGTCAGAGATGTGTGCACAGTACCTTGACATTGCTGAATTCTGGCCACTCTTGCTTCAGCTTTCCGCCTCTCCTCATCAGATTCACTTGTCCTTCCCCCTTCTTCTTCTGGGCAACTTTAAAAGACAATAGTCAAGACAGACCACTGAAAACCAAATTCAAGTATCTTTCAGTTCATTAGTAAGACATGGGGACTTGAAGGTAGCATTATTCAGAGAAGAAAAATTCAGCATAAAGAGAATTCTTCATGCCCTCTAGCTGAGATACTTGGTTTTCTTGCGTATATAAAAGACCTAGCACGTATGACATAGCTCTCCAAGTCAGCAGTACAGCATGACTCGAATATTCCAACAAACACACATACACAAATGCACTCATGTGCTCACACCTCTACGCCCCACACTATCAACACTAGCATTAGGTCCGACTAAAATAGTAAGTTTTGCTTTCTACTACGTTTGGGTACTTCACAATGGGACAGAGTAGAGGGAGTTGGAGGGGACAGAGGTAGGGTGCCAGCTTGAGTATGGTGCAGTGGAGGTGGAGGAATTTTATAAAACATCACTCAAAACAGATTAATCAAATCACCATTAAGGATGATCATCCTCACCCCCTCCACTTTATAAAAACACTAGTAATGACAAGGAAATTGACTTTGAACACTTAGATCGACCAATCTAAAAATGTTTATTGAATGATTCTTCAGAATTAGGCACACACAAAAACAAAAAGCATGGCCCCTGCCCTCGAGGAGCTTCCAATCTAATACACATATATACACGAAAAAGGTAGCTGCTACAAGGCAATATATGACAGGCACCAAGTAAATGCTGTAGAGAGCAGGTGTTAAAGAATTCCGGGTAAGGAAGAGACCACTGGAACTGGAGGTCTTCACGAAGGAGGGAAGCCATGAGCTGCACCAGAGATGAGCAGGATTCACACAGGCGGAGGGGAGGTAGGGCTTTACATGCAGGGAGGCGCAGAGAACAAAGCTGCAGATGAGGGGCTATCACAGGCGGGGGCGGGGGCAGGGAGCAGACCAGTCCGGCTGAGGCAAAGTGTTCATGCAGAGGAAACATGGTTAGAATACTTTCCCCAAGTGGACGAGTCCATCCCCTGGCGTATGGACAGAAGGAAAGGTTACCTTTCTACTGCCTGTTGGATGCGTCTCATCCAGTTATTCCGTTCCTCCTTGGAGTTAGTATGAATTTCATACATCTCAGGACCGGCAGATGAAGCACTGATTAGAAACATTCCTCTTTCCTCATTAGCAACTTCTCTAGCAATAAGCTTCTGAAGGGAAATAACGGATGGCTTCTGATCCTACATGAGATAGGAAGAGGTACAGGTGAAACAGCAACCCACCAAAACTAAGGGTCTTACCAAACACATGAACCAAAGAAAGCACAAGTGTTAGGCAAATGAGTTCACTTCGACCTTTCAGAAGCTCTGTGGAAGCTGCTCAGATCTCCAATGGCAAGGGTGTGCTGAAGAGAGGATGGGAAGAAAAGGATAAAGGGGAATGTTTGCCCTTAAGAACGGGTGGTGTCAGAGGACACCCTTTTAAAATGCAGAACGATCCGAGCGCTAAGACTACCAAAATGCCACAGTCAGGGATTGAGGGATTGTTCTAGAAGGGCGTGGGATAGAAAATAGCTTATCAAATATCACAAGGAGATGAGAGAGGGTGGACCACCTAAGAGTCCACTGGATTTAGCAGTATTTAGGGTGGTCCTTGAAAGTGACAGTGGGAAGGAGGAAGCCCGACCGCAGACTCCCTGAGCATAAGCAGGGTCTCCTGCTGTCGAAGTACAGAGCATACCAACTCAACTTCTGTAGTTTGCCCTGCCAAAGTCTCTTCTTCCCACCAACTACGGGAGCCCCTGGCAGGCAGGAACGAGTCGGATTCACACTTATACGCCTAGTACATTGTTTGGCATGGTGCAGGCTTTCAATAACTGTCTGCAGAACTGGACTTAGCCGAAGAGGAAGAAAGGCTAAAATTTGGCCTATAAGCCATGATGAAACCACCTCTTCTACCAACATTTATTATGATCTTTCAATGTCCCATTGCTAAGCCCTGGGGATTCAATGATGAGTAAGAGAATAATAACTAACCTGGGTAAGGAACCGTAGCTGAAAGAATAACCAAAAAAAAAAAAAAAAATGCCTGCAGGAGATAAACAGTTTTGGGGGGAAGTATGAAGCATCTTCTATGGCTTGCGGCTTCCACCACTGTTCAGAGTTGGTAGCAGAAGGTGGTTTGGCTTCTCCTTCATGGACTGAGCAACATCTTTACCCAGAACATGCCACTACATCTCTCATGGCCGACTCCTTAGTGCCGACCTGTCTGCTTTCCCAGCATCACACGGCTATACCACATCTAAAGTTGTGTGCAAGGGCGTGCCCACAGTATCTCTTCATCTCATTCTTTTTTATTTTTCCCCAAATGTTTATTTATTTATTTTGAGAGAAAGAGAAAGAACACACATAGTGGGGGAGAGGGAGAAAGAAACAGAGATAGAGAGAGAAACGGGGTGGGGGGGAGGGGGGGGCGGGGAGAATTCCAAGCAGGCTCCACGCTGTCACCACAGAGCCCAGTGCAGGTCTTAGTCTCATGAACCGTGAGATCATGACCTGAGCCAAATTAAGAGCTGGATGCTTAACTGACTGAGCCACCCAGGTGCCCCCCATTCTTCTTAGAGCAGCAAAAAAACAAAAACAAAAAACCAACAACAACTTTTTGAATACTGCCCTCTCTAATTAGGGAGAGCGCCTGAACACTGTTAATATCCTTCGTTAAATAATGGAAATACGACCAAAGACCTTATTTGCTTTCCTTCCTTCAATGCACGGGGTTAGGTTCCTCAGCTTTCAAGGTAAATGGCCTCTGCATATAAAAGGCAGAGTAGGTTTCAATAGCAGAAGACATTAGCAAGAATGAAATTATCTGAACCAATTGGTTAGCATTGCATAAGGAGTGGAGGTGGCAAGGTCAGGTAATTTTAAAATGAAAAATAGGTAAGCAGGTAGAAGGTACCATTAACTGAATGACCCATCAGACCAGGAAGCATCGTTATTTGTATTAATCACACATGAACACTAGAGATGATTGAGAATTCAAATTAAATCTCTAGGAATGGAAGTAACAGGTCTGCCTTAGAGAGAGATGTTAAAAATAGGTGATGCCAATTCCTAACCCAGCCTGCAGAAATGTTCTGTTTGTGCCTCAGCATTTGAAAACCACATTTTAAATAGTCGCCAACTTTTAAAATCTGAGGGATTCCCCATTTTTTAAACCTACAGATTTGTGGGTTCTTGGAAAAAGCAGACTGGCAATCCTGGGCTCATGGATTCATTTAAACACACTGATTCATTTAAACACCTCTGTGACACAGGTCATGTTCTCACCAGTTCACTACAGTCTCCACCACTCGCTATGGGATCCTTGATCCCAAGCCCCCTCTCAGTTTACACCTGGGTGTTGCCTGCCAATCCCCGCAGGCAGGCTGACCGCCTCTGCCACAAAGGAAGAGGAAAAGGAGCTGCTACCGTTAGCCCTGGTATCACACCCCCCTCCACGTGTGATTCCATGAACTGTCTGATTCCACAAGTAATTCCCTTCGAAATCCCACTGTGGTAACAAGAGCTTAGCGTTGCTGCCTATTTTGAAGTTGCACATTACCAGGCTCACTTTGTATTTTTAATTGCTCATTTTGAAATTACCTTCTGTAATATTCAAGAGATCCTCCTAGACTCAGTACTCAGTCATCTAGGATTTAACGAACATCTCTATGTTTTCCTATTCATTTCACAGATTTAGGCCCTACTCCCATTTCCAGCTGAGTCCTCTTAAAAAACAAAATTTCGGGGCGCCTGGGTGGCGCAGTCAGTTAAGCGTCCGACTTCAGCCAGGTCATGATCTCGCGGTCCGTGAGTTCGAGCCCCGCGTCAGGCTCTGGGCTGATGGCTCGGAGCCTGGAGCCTGTTTCCGATTCTGTGTCTCCCTCTCTCTCTGCCCCTCCCCCGTTCATGCTCTGTCTCTCTCTGTCCCAAAAATAAATAAACGTTGAAAAAAAAAAAAAAATTTCTTCTAGGGACACTACTCCATTCTTCTGGTATTTTCAGCTACTTATCATCAGGCCATTTCCAAATTCATCATGTCTTTTGTAACACGTAGCAAGTGAAGCATTTACTAAAGAAGTTTTTCTAGCAGTACAAAGAGCAGAGAAACTCACCCACAGGTATTAGCAGGAAGCTAGCTTCTTACAATACCAAGGTGAGAACTAGGAAATCCAGACATTTGTATAACCTTAGCTAATACAGCAATTCCCTCAAGGTGTTAGCCAGAAGATATTTAAGACACAAGGGCTATGTCAACTAAATGTGTATGATGCAACTCAAAAGCGTATGTTGTAACAGCACAGTGCCCTTGACCGCTTACACATAATGCCTTCTCTTATGCTGACATTGACAAGGGCTTGGTTGACCTTTAGGAAAGCCACTATGTGTCAGCCTAGCATCTCCGTGAAACAGCATCAGTATCATCTTACTGTTGTCTGTAGTCAAACACCTTCTACCAAAAGGGGCGAAGGTGTGGCTGCCTTCATTCTGGATTTGGTGGACTTTATTCCTAACATCCCACTTAATGGCAAATGTGGTCTAAAGCTGGCACAGCTAACTCTTCAAGAGGTCGCACAGGAGGGACAAATCCACAGTTCAAGTCCTACTATCAGGTGAGCATCACAACTTGATCTGAATCTATATGCTATGTTGTCCTAGAAAAGAAGAGGGTTATCTTTATGCCACATCTAAGCTTTGACCTGTTGGCAGGTCATTTGGCCTGTATGGACACTGTTAATATCTTTCGTTAAATAATGGAAATAGGACCAAAGACCTTATTTGCTTTCCTTCCTTCAACGCACGGGGTTAGGTTCTCTTATGATCTGCTTCTCTTTCAGCTCTTTAGTTTTGAACAACTTTTGTTTCTATAAAGGTGTAGAATGAATTTTTCTCTTCTACCAGGGTCCTCACCTCCCATAGGACAAGCCAAATGGTTTCACCTTCCCACTTACTTTCTCTCTGTTCAGAGCACCCCAAATAATAGCCTAGAGAGGTTGCTACACAAATCAGTAGGTTGTCATGAAATCTGCAATGTATACAGTTCAAATGCATCAGGGCCATGGGGACTTGCTTAAGATCTCTTGCTATTTTCTGCAGTAGCTTTGTGAAACAATCTCTGACCTTTATACAACTTGGCCTCAGGGTGCCGATGAGAGCAATGTGCCAAACGGGGGGAAGGAGGCTATTGGGCCAAGGTGACCAGCACAGATGGGTAGGTGAGGCACTCCACCAGCCTCTTCCTCCCCCAAATCCACCACTGACTGAGCAGGCAGGCTTCTTTGTTTTCTCTGAACGGCCTAACAGAAACTTCACTAAGCCTTGAATTTGCTAAAACCGGTTAGAACTGATGATATGTCCTATTAGTCAATGGGTGATAAATATGAACCATTTTAGAGAGCCACCATTACAATGCCCACACAGGTACTGCATCTGGATTCTTTCCTTTAACAGGACCTGATGCTCCTTAATGCTGACAGAGTTAGTTGAGGACATCTTTCTTCTTAAAGGGAGTCATTCAGACCACAAGAGGCTGCATAAAAAATGTTATAAAATACTGGTTTTACTTTTAGTCTAACTCTGTGCCAGCAATGAAATTAATATAACACACAATAAAGATTAATGTTGTCTGAATAATCGTAGTAATTGGTGGTCATTATAGTAGAAACAATGAAGAAGCTTCTTTAAAGTTTAGATACCACAATGGTGTTCTCTTGTTTGGCAGGAGGAACAACATGACGGTTATGAATTGGGATGGCAACGGGTACAGTAGGGACTGACCAATGGAAACAGAACAAGAGTCCAGAAGAAACCCACCGTTCCCAGCATTACCATTTGAGTGGCTGGGAAGGCATGGTGGGAAAGATCTGGAAGAAATGCCAACATAGCCAGATGATAGGGGGTCACCTGAGGGGCTAAGGATAGTGCCTGTCCACCAACCAGCACCAAAGTACTTGAATACTTTTACATTTGTTTAATAAGTGAATCAACCATTTAAAATATGCATCACATGGCCATATACTTACAACAGCTGCAAAGATGTATTTCTGGTCTTTTTCTTGTAAAAAGAGCAGCACATCAGTTAGGAGGAGAGCCAGGATATCTTCAAAGGAAAGATATTACTAGTATTAATGAAGCTAACCACAGTTCAAATGCCTTTATCAAATACTCTTATTTCATGGTTGAAACTTAAATAAACTTATTAAAAATAGACTAACATTTAGTCTAAGTATGGAACTTCTATAAAAATGCCTTGTACTATGGTAGCCAATGATGAACTTTACAGACAACTTAGATTCGCTGTGTTTATGCATGCAGGTCTGTATCACTATAGGTAGAGCTAAATCTCCAGCAAAATGTAATACTGTAGTATTCAGATGGGAAAAAAAATATCCAATAAACAAAAGTTCTAATAGAATGGAGCAAGTGGTTACCTTTAGAAAAAGAAGCTTAACTATAACTGTTGGAGCGCAGTTTCTGCCTTGAATTAGGTGTACAAGTCTGCTCTCTTGCTCCATCTAGACCTGAGCGAGTTTGTGATCTTCTATTTCCACAAATTGTTCACGGGAACTCATCTTCTCTAGCCTACTCAACATCCTAACAGAGTTATCCAATTGCTGATTCAGTGAAATGACCAAGAGCAAAGGACTTGCTGCAACGTGATCTACAGACTGGTTAATGTTTTCGTTTGGTTAATGTTCAAATTGTGGTTAATGTGTGGTTGCAACATTGTGGACCAAAAAATCCCATCTCAGTCGTTAGATGCAAACACCATGAAAACCTGATAATCCTCCCAAGGGTTACCTTTGAGTAACTAGACCCTTTGAATAACCTCTTCCTCTTACTTCTTACCTGAGCAAGTTACTAAGATATACTAAAAACAGGGATAACAGACCAGTGGTTCCTAACCCTGGCTGCACAGCAGACTCACCTGGGAGCATTTAAGCACGCCTACACTTGGACTTCATCCCCAGACCGATAAAATCAGAATCTCTGGGAGAAGACTCGAACATCAGTAATTTTTTCTAAGCTCCCAAGGCGATTCTATCACATGCGGTCAGGGTGGAGCCAGCCTGCATCAGGCAAGACGGTACCTACAGAATCAGACCTTCAGAATCTGAATAAGCAGTTTTAGAGTCTAACTAGATTAATAGGGTCAGATTAATGCCAGTAAATGGCAAACAGAAGCACTGAGGAAGAGTTTGCACCACTGCCAGCATGGGTATTTCTGCATCTTTTTACTCAGTAAGAATGACATTCAGAGCTCATGTTTCCCCTCGATGGCATGACAGCCCCCGGCTGGCCTGGCGCACAGACGGTAAATGTACAGTCAGACTGCCTCGTTTTCAACACACTGCATGTGCCTGACGACTATTTCCATGCCAGCCATTAGCAGGATTCTCAGTGCCTTTGATTCAAACGTTCCAAACTGCAAATTCATAAAATATTTATGAAGGCTTTTGCCTGGGGCAGCACACGCCCCCCAAAGATTCGTGGCATTTGCCTAGTGAAGTTGACGACCGGATCCCACAGGGATCCTTCCACGTCCCAGGGGGTCTGTGTGCATCTGCCACCTCGGGACCACTTTTCCTTTTGAAAACCTGTCCTGTTACATGAGTAACATATGTGAAAGAAGAAAAACAGGTCTGCTGGAGCCCCGATACCTTTGAAACGACCTGTGGCAGTTTTCCAGTAAACAAGGCCATCATATAACAGAGTCCTTTCTTTACTTATCAGTGCTTGCTTCCTAAACACATGGCCATTTTTGAGCTTTGTGTAGGTTTTGTTTTCGATCTTATTCAAGATCTCAAGCCATTTTTGGTTTTTCTCATACTCGCTGACTTTTAAATCCACAGCGGCAATCATGTCTTTAATTAAGCAGAGAGCTTTGCACAAGTCTTTATGTTCTTCACTTCTTTCTGCGTGGGAAAAAGAAAGAACACTATAAAATTAGCCATCGTGCTGAGGAAGACAGTTTTTTTGTGTGTTAAATGCAATTAAAATCATACAAGTGGCAAAAATCACACGATGAAAACACTGGATTAAGTTCAGATGCTTTATTATCAGTCTGTACCCTTCCTCCCCAAAAGAACTGTTAAACGATGTACTTATCAGATGTGCTTAACCTGAAACACTGTAAGATGTCTGAGTTCTAGAGACTGCTACGACCTTCCCCAAGAACACTGAATGTGTTAGATACTAACCTTGGCTTTCTTTCCACCTTTCCAGACACAGGTAATCAAATAACCCCTTCACTGAATCTCTTACAATTTAACCAGGCTGCAGGCCCAAATAAGAATCCTTTCAAGACAGAGTTATTTGAACAACAGGGTGACTTGAACAGGCCCCAGACTCATTTGCCTTCCTGGATCCCTCCCCCTCCATAAAAAATATTCAATATTATATTTTAGAACTGCATTAGTATCAAGATGCATGTATTAATAAAATATATTTTAACACTTTCAACCTAAAAAAATGGCATAAAAACACTGTGCTTAGTGGGTCGAAGTTAGTAGGTCAGTCACAGTAATCATCGATTCCAGTTGTTATTCTTTGAAACACTGGCCATCTGCTCTTATCTCTAAGTTATCTTATGAAAAAACCCTGGAGTTTCTGGAACAGGATCCTAGGACTCCAGATGAAACTGGATTTAACAATTTTCTTATTTGATGACATAGAACACCCGGTTAATGTTTATTGAGGTCAGTAGAACTGAAAGTTTCAGGAGGTCAGAAGGTGCTGGAAGGAGAGAAGGAAAACTGGCTGAGAGCATGAAAGCCTAGAAAGAACAGAAATAAACACACAGAAATAGCAGTCACGTGAGAGGAGAACAAGTCCTCAAACAGTCTAAACGTTTCCAGGTTCTAAATGTCCTAGATACACCAAGGGTTTTTTTTCAGAAAACCAACCAACAGATCCTGACAGGGCTCTTCAACAAGGAAGATTCTTTCTCACTGTCTGAAAGTATCTTCTTTCCTACACTTACCAACCACTAAGCAGCCCCTCCCTCTCAAAATATGCTTCTCTCTAAAGAACCTATTTTATAAATATGAAAGATGAGTAAAGAAAAGCAAAGTTGAGTTACAAGGTAACATGTAAGGCCAAGAAAAGGCTCAGTCATTTGACCAGGAGGGACAAATTCCTGTCCTGTAATGGCGGGCTACATGAAGTGAAGCAGCATGGGCCTCTCTTGGAGTCTTGTCAGAATGATTCCTTGGGCTTCACCTCAGACCTAACTGAGGCAGAATGTGCACGCAAACAAGATATTCAGGAAAGGACTCTGCCTAATGAAGTGTGAGAAGCACAGCCATAATACAGCCACATGAACCAACGTTCCCAGAAGCCAGAGAGAGGATGGGCCACTGGGGGGTCTGACCTAAGGAAGCAGTGTCCATTCAGTCACTATGACGGCTATACCTGAAAAGTCTTAAGTCACACTCATCATTTCTGACACACAGTAGGTAATGACTGTTAATCACTCTACCAGGAACTTGGCACGGGGCGATTCTTGGAGTAGTGATAGCTGACCTAACACAATCTGACAGATTTTAGTGTCTGACATACCGTATTAAAACTTTACACTTTATACGAACATCATACCAATGGAAAGCCTCAGGTGTGTTTTCATTATTTTTGCTGAGAACAACATTTATGAGGCTTTTCTCTTCACACTGTTCTTGTATTTCCCTTTACGTTAAATTACGCGGAGTGGTAAAAACGGGATCGAGGAATAGTTGCCCCCATTCCAGGGTGAACTTAGTCCTTAACATGACCGAAAAAAAGGAAACACTAACTCATGCTTTTCTACTCACCTAGACTGCTTCCCTCCCCCTGCCCCAAAAGGAAGTTAGACGTTCACATTTTTAGACAGGGTACTTAAGATCTCATTACAGTTTTCATCAGCAACAAGTCCATCAATCATAACTAAAGTAATAAAAACAGCTTCCACTCTGTTTACACCAGGCTCTGCACTGGGCATTTTATGCAACCATCTCATTTAACCATCACAACAATTTCCTAAGGATTATAAGTCTCACTTGCTAGTGGAGAAAAACGAGGCTCATTTAACAAACATGCCCAACTAATGACCTGCTAAACCAAGTATACTCAATGGCAATGCAAGTTTACGTAATTCCAAACCCCAGTGTTAGTTAACCTACAACGCTACCATCCAAAGAATAATTTACTCAAGATCAATAAGCTAGCTTGAAGAACAGGAATTTTTATGTACTCATCCATTGCTCTGGTATGTCTGTATTTATTGATAACCTATTCTGTACCAGTCACTACACTAGCATTGAAGAAGGTGCTAGAAGGAGAGGAGAAAAGAACCAGATAGACACAATCCTTCTAGATGCCTTAAGGAGCTTATGGCCCAGCCATATACATTATTAGCCTCTTAAAGGATGCCCAGATGTTACCCCCTGGGACATGATGATTTGACAGGGTGGGGGAAAAAAAAAAAGCTCGCTCATGAATTGTTCTCATTCTAATAATTCACTGCTTGGAAGGCTTGACATTTTGTGATAGGATCAATGGCATATGGCTCATCAGACTTACTGGTAAGCGAAGAGGAAGATGAGGAAGGAAAGGTATGAAGATGTGGATGTAGGGAAACTGAAGAAGGGATAGGCAGAGTTGAAGTATGAAGAATGCTGCGTAGCTCGGGCTGCTTGGAGGAATTCAGAAGATTGCCCAGGCTACATTATAAAAGATAACTTCTCAAAATGGACCCAAAACTCAAGGCTCTACAAGTTTTTCCCTAACAAACAGGTTTCATGAATCACAGGCCACAAGCATTTATATCCTTTGGCAATACCTCAGCAATGTTTAAAATTAATGCAAGAGGCAAATGTTTACCCTGGAACTTATTACTCACCCTTTGTGTACTGCAAAATCCTTTCCACCAGGACAGGGTATTTCGTGATACGCTGAGTGACTAGCAGAATGCATTCTGGGATTCCTCGGCGTCGCGCCAAAAGGTTACTATTTCGAAGCTTAAAAATATATATGTATACGTTTTTATATACACAAACTATTTTCTTTTTGGGTCTGAGTGTAATAAAACCAAGAATCTGCAACTGTATCATTTTATTCAGATACAGTGTAATATGTATGATCGTTCATTAAAACTTGATTAATTGCCATTAAATCATATACTTTGTCATTAATTTCAATAACCTAATTCTTCAAGCTTAAGGAGTTTCACGTTACTGTGATGTATTTGTAGTTAATTCCAAAATTAAGCACATGCCAGTAAGTGTTAAGATTTATGAAGAGTAAAAGTTCTGGAAAATATTCACAAGTCAAAGTCACATTTTGAGTGTGAGTTTACAGTTAAATATTTGTTTTTCTAAACAATCATCCTCTACATTGGTTATTATTCATCACGGCACTTACAGTTCCCGCTAATCAGGGCAACTTTTTTCCTAAAAATTTTATACTGTTAAGTTTTCAAGTTCTCAAAACAAATGTGCAGTGGGGCAGGGGAGGGGGGAAAGGGGGAGAATCTGGTAGCATTCTTAAAATGGTAGAAAAAAATGCAGAATCCATGGAACTCTAAAGGACAAATTTCTTCAACAAATAAATTGGACACCAAAAAATTAATAAATAAGGGGATGGGGAACATTCAAATTAAAACAGATTTAAAAGCTACAATTCTGATACACAATATGTCAACTTTAATCAGATTCTCACTTAAGCAATCCAATTTCATGAGATTCTTAGGGAATCTGACCAGCTGTCTGAAGCTATTAAAGAATAATTGTTGGGGCGCCTGGGTGGCGCAGTCGGTTAAGTGTCCGACTTCAGCCAGGTCACGATCTCGCGATCCGTGAGTTCGAGCCCCGCGTCAGGCTTTGGGCTGATGGCTCAGAGCCTGGAGCCTGTTTCCGATTCTGTGTCTCCCTCTCTCTCTGCCCCTCCCCTGTTCATGCTCTGTCTCTCTCTGTCCCAAAAATAAATAAACATTGAAAAAAAAAATTAAAAAAAAAAAAAAAAGAATAATTGTTAACCTAGTAGCTGTGATAGTACCATTGTAACTTTTAAAAGATGCATTGTTTAGAGATACATATTACATACATGTGAAATTATATGATGTTCTGGATTTACTTCAAATTAATCCAGTAGGAGTGGGGTGTATACTATATTTTTACTAAGGTTCTTCTGATTTATAACTTGTCAGGACAGGAAATAGCTTCCCAGGATATTACAAAGGTGGCCAGAAGCTTGGAGGACACATTACAAATATAAAATACGAAAGGAAATGTTTTGGGAGAAATATTTCACAAAGACAGAAAAACAGACCTTCCAGCTTTGCCACAAACCTATCACTTTCTTCTCTTTCCCCTGAAAAACAGCATCTAGATGTGAAACTTGTTAAGGTCATATAACAAGCAAGCATCAACTGCTTCCCACGCTGGTTTTCCACTTTGTGATAGCTTTAAAATACTTGCCTTAATAAAATTCTGAAACTTTTTATTTTGTTGGAGTTCTTTAAAGAGGCTAACGGCTTCTTTGTGATGGCTACAGAATTCTCCATATACTTTCTTCATTTTATTTGCATTTTCTTCTGAAAACTGAGAAGAGTAACATTTCAGTGATGGTTTACAAATTTAACTAGTTATAAACACTAAAGAGAACATGCAACTTTCAAGTATTTCAATATATTCTTGGCAAATAAAGAATAAATATGAAATTTCTGAACACAGTCCCTTCTTTTCCCCACTTTTTACATGAAACTAAAACAAAGTTGTCAAGAGGGAAGGGGAAGACACCAACCTACCATGGTTTTATTGTTTTAAACATTTGTTATTTTTATTCTTTTTGAGCTGTTTGTGCAACTTGATCATTTGAACCTATTGTTGGGGTTTTTCTGGGTGTTTTGTTTTGTTTTGTTTTGTTTTGTTTTTTGTTTTTTACTTTTCTAGGCTGAAGAAACGCTATGTGGGGCACCTGGGTCACTCAGTCGGTTAAGGTCCAACTTCAGCTCAGGTCATGATCTCACGGCTCGTGGGTTCGAGCCCCGTGTTGGGCTCTGTGCTGACAGCTCAGAACCTGGAGCCTACTCCGGATTCTGTGTCTCCCTCTCTCTCTGCCCCTCCCCTGCTCGTGCTTGCTCACTCTCTCTCTTCAAAAATAAATATTTTAAAAATTAAAAAAACAGAAAAGAAAAGCCATGTGGCAATATTTGCCTCAAGAAGGTTTGACCTCTCACAGGTTGACATTGACATAGGCGAACTGGTCATGTCCATGGATTCAGTCCTCAGTTGGGAATTTGATTTTTGTCAGCACATCACAAATGGGTCCAGAGGCAGGTAAAAGGGAAAGATGAATAATCAGAATGCCAATTTATTAACTGATGGACCAAAGTAGAGATCTGGGCTGGATATTTCAATAAGCTAAATTTGTGGAAACATCTCTGCAGAAAAATCTACATGGTAACCATATTAGAATCATAAGGGAACAAACTGAATTACCTGAATGCCAGTGTTTCAGACTTTGACACATTCAGGATTATAGCAACAGAAACCAGAAAACACCTCACTCCCTAACCCCAGGAAAGCACTTCAAATTTACATCACCATCTCTGATGTCTTCATCTTTGCTTATAGTTTCATCTATGCTTGAGGCCAGTATCTCAAGAGATCTTTAAATTAACTACAATTGCTCTAAATAAATAAATAAATAAATAAATAAATAAAACTTAAGTACAAATCTAACAAGATACATACAGGCCTCATATGCTGAAAACTATACAGTGCTAGTAAAAAAAAAATCAAAGAAGATGTAAATCGATGGAGGGAGAGAGATACCATATTCATAGACTGGGAGCCTCAAGATAGTAAAGACATCATTTTTCCCAAATTGATATACAAGTTTAATGCAATCCTCGTTAGAATCCCAGCAAGTTTTTAAATACAGACATGATTATTCTAGAATTTATAGAAAAAAATAGCTAAAAACAATTTTGAAAAAGAATTAAGTAGAAGGACTCAGTCCACCCAATTTCAAGATTGATTATATAGCTACAAGAATTAAGACTATGTGAAATAATGGACACATAGATCAGTGGAACAGAACAGGAACCCAAAATGCCCAATGGAATTTTGACAGGGGAGCAAAGGCAATTCAATGAAGGAAGGATGGCTCTTCTAACAAAGGGGGAAAAGCATTGGGGGAAATGGACATCCAGAGACTAAAAACAAGAAGTGAATCTTGACCTGTGTCTCATATTCTAAACAAAAATTAACTCAAAATGGACTACAGACTTAAATGTAAAACATAAAACTGTAAAACTTTTAGAAATAAAAAATGGGAGAAAATCTTTTGAGATCTCAGTCTAGACAAAAAGTTCTTAGATTTGACACCAAAAGCATGACCCTTACAAGGAAAAACCGAAATAATGGACTTCATCAAACTCAGAAAATAAGTTACAGACTTCATGTCTGCAAATCACATACCTGACAGATGACTAGCACCTAGACTACATAAAGAAACTGCAATATTCAATAGTAAGAAAACAAACAATCCCATTAGAAAACGGGCAAAAGACAGGAGCTAACCTTTCATCAAAGAGGATATACACAGGGCAGATAAGGACATGAAAGATGTTTAACATCATCAGCTATGGGGGAATTATAACTTAAACCACGATGACTTATCAAATCTTTCAGGATAGGTAAAATTAAAAAAAATAGTAACACCACCAAGTACTAGTGAGAATGCAGAAAAACTGGATTATTGTACATTGTTTACAGGGATGTACAATAATACAATCACTCTGGAAAACAGTTGGCAGTTTCTTACAAAATTAAGCATGCAACCACCCTGCAAGTCATGAATTGGGACCCCAGACATTTATCCCAGAGAACTGAAAAACTTAAGTTTACACACAAATCTGTACATGAATGTTTAAAATAGCTTTACTTCTGGGGCACCTGGGTGGCTCAGACAGGTAAGCGTCCAACTCTTGATTTCGGCTCAGGTCAAGATCTCACAGTTCACGAGTTTGAGCCCCACATCGGGCTCTGCCCTGAGAGCTCAGGGCCTGCTTGGGATTCTCTCTCACCTCTGTGACCCTCCCCTGCTCACAGTTGCTCTTTCTCTCTCTCAAAATAAATAAACATTAAAAAAAATTTTTTTTAAAAACCAGCTTTACTTCTAATAGCCAAGGACTAGAAATAGCCAAATGTCCTTCTACAAGTGAGTGATTAAACACACGTGGTATTTCCATACCACAGACTACTACTCAACAATAAAAAGGAATGAACCACTGAACTACCCAACCACCTAGATGATTCTTTTTTAATTGGCTGAAAGAAGCCAATCCAAGGGAGATTACATAGTACATATGTAATTTATATGTAACACACATGTAATTTATCTAACATTACTGAAATGACAAAATTACAGAAATAGAGATTAGTTGTTGCCAGGAATTAAGGAGATGGGCTCGGGAGGGAAGTAGGTGTGGCTATAAAGTAGCCAGACAAGCCAGTACTTGTGATCATTGAAATGGTCTGTGACTTGATTGAATCATTGTCAGTATCCTGATTACGATACTATAATTTTGCAAGATGTGAGCATCGGGGAAAAATAATAATTTAAAAAATTAAATATTTTGATTTTTTTTTAATTGTTTGCATGTTTATTTATTTTTGAAGGAGAGAGAGAGACAGAGTGCAAGCTGGGGAGGGGCAGAGAGAGGGAGACACAGAATCCGAAGCAGGCTCCAGGCTCTGAGCTGGCAGCACAGAGCTCAATGTGGGGACTCCAACTCACAAATCATGAGATCATGACCTGAGCTGAAGCCAGATGCTTAACCAACTGAAAGAGCCACATAGGCACCCCCAAAATTAAAAAAATTTAAATGCCAAATCCCAGGTCCCACCCCAAACCTATCAAAACAAAACCACTAGGGTGTTGGAACACAGAAGTCTTCATTTTTAACAGGCTTCAGGAGATTCTTATGTACCTGAAGTTGGCAAACTATGGTTTGATATCAATCATGTTCCTCATACTCATCATTTCGAACCAACACCAACATTTCCACTGACTCAATTAGCATCACATTCCAGTCTCGCCTCCTGAATAAGGTTCTCCATGGCTAAAAAGTGAGGGATTCCTTTGAAGTCTTCTCTCCTACATCCCTTAAACAGCTAATGCTTCCTTGGTTCCCACACCCGCATCCCTTGTCTGAGGATGTAGCTAATGTGCTCCCTCGGGAAACAACTTTTTACGGTACTGGGAGGAGACCCCTTGCCACCCCCACTATGCATGCCAACAACAGAAATGCCAAAGGAGGCTTAAAACCCTTTTCTCTGAATAACCAAGAATCTCTCCCCGAAGGAGAAGGGTGCACTTCATCCAAAAGCAGCACACCAGGCTCATCCTATGTGACAGCCAACTTCCCAAACCTCGTTCTCAATGTCAGTCCTGCTTATACACACGATTAAATAAAAACAGAATGGGTAGAGATATAAAACATGGTAAATACAAACATAAGAACAAAAGTGTTCTAAATGAGAATTTATTTTTTTTTAATTTTTTTTAACGTTTATTTACCTTTGAGACAGA